GGGGGAGGCGCTGCGCCCTCCCCCGCACCCCCTCCCGCTTTTTTTGTTTAAATAGTTGCCACTACCGTCCACCACCCCTACTATTTCCAATACCTCTATCACTCGGACCACCCCGCTACGAGTCTTACCACAGTTACCACAACTACTGTTTTCTTTGTGTTGACGCTGCCACAAAGGTGGATTTCTACTTTGCTTAGCCCAAAGAAACCCGAAACCACTGAAACCCAAAGACAACCGCAGAAAAGTCCCTATTATAGTTCCTCTCTCCTCCTACTTCTCCGTCGTTAAGTGGGATGCCTTTTCCGGAAGAACGCCTAAAGAAACCCTAAAGACAAGAAACCGAGCCCAAAGAAACCCGAAACCAGTGAAGCTAAAGACAACCGCAAAGAAGTCCCTAGTAAGTGGAATACCTTTTCTGTTCCCTCCCTTTGTCACTGTCACGCTGGCTTTGGTGCTTCGTCCCCTGCCCTTTCTGCTGCTCCTAGTGCTTGTAAAGCACTCCCAGCAGAAACAAAAGCAAAAACAGTAGGGGAAAAAACGTAAAACAAATTCCCGGAAAAAATATGAAAAAATCCGGAAACATATTCATCCGTAGTAAGGCCAGGAGCCCCTAGTGGCGTCCTTGCTCTTGGTAGCGATGCCAGGAGCCCCTAGTAGCATCCTTATTCCTAACATGCAACTGTTCCAATTGTTCTTGGAGAGTGCTTGCACTGAAGTTGCACCGAGAGTTTCCGCACTGAAGCTTTAGTGCCTCAAACAAGCAGGTACCTTCACTGACGTGCAGAATCTCCATCCTTCATCAATTTGAGCCCTGCGCTCATGCCTTCGACTGGCAAGTTGGCGTGCAGGATGCTGAGTCCGATTTGTTTGTTTCTGTTGGGGGCAGGGGTTTAAACTACTGATCCATTTTGGATTGGTATCTTCACAATCCTCGTGCGTGTTTCATGCCATGCAAGGCATGGTGTGCTGCTCAATTTCTCCGACTCGCAGGGAAGGCTCTTGCCTGGTCTTTGTTGCAGGGGCAGATCACTCTCACACTCTTTCTCACACTCTCTCTCTCTCTCTCTGTGTCTCTCTTCCCTCTCTTTTGCGCGTTCCACAGTAAACCAGGCGTTTCTCGGCGACATACTTGCCAGAGGTGGCCAAAGAGCACGGTTGAACGCTCAGCCCTTCACAAGATTTCTTGTCTTGTGATTCTGATGTCCTTGAGTGTGCGTTTACTCTGCGCTTGCCGATGGAAAGGTATGACCCGAGAAGTTGCCATCCGCGAGCTTGTGGCCAAATCTGGCTATGCAGGCCCCTGCCAGGCCTGCGCAGTTACATGGGCATCGATCTAAAGGTCCATGAAAGGAGTTTCATATGGAACAGCCATTTCGGTTACTAAGTACCAACCGGGCGAAAGATCGCTAAAGTTAAACACAGGGTTCGCGAAAGTAATCTTTTTTTTTCGCGAAAGTTCATGTAAACCATGTATGTTATTTGTAGGTAAAGGGACCCTTATTTGTTTGCTTACTGTGATCTTTTCAGACCACCAGCTCAGAAGGAAATCAGAGTCTTCCTTTAACTACTATATATACCCATGTACCCGAACTTCTTCTGAATATGTAAGATCATACTTCGCGAAAGTTTGCGAAAGTTAAACATGGGGTTCGTGAAAGTAATCTTTTTATTTTTTTCGCGAAGAGGCACTTTCCAGATGAAAGGAATTTAGATCAACCACCACATATGATTCTTGTTGTCCATGTTTTGTTTCCAGCAAAACTTGAGTAACACAATCAGTGGGCACAAACTGACATAGCCTAGCTGATTCTACCAGGAAATTCTGGACTTCTTGGAGGTCACCCGCTACCAAACGATTGTGTTGGGCTGAGGAAGGATCCGGTTCCAAGGCCGAAGAAACCGATACATTTTGGTGTTGTCACTTCCGAAGGGCCACAGGGCCATCGGGCCACAGCGAGGAATCGCTTCCGGCCGCGCAGCAAGGTGGAGAGTGTATCCTATCAAGACCTTGCCAGTCCTTTGCTTAGCAGCTCTTCAGCTCGCCTTTAGCAGCTCTCAGCTTCTTCTTAGTTGAACTTTGATGTGTTGTTTAAATGATTCCAAAATGACTTTGGGGACTGTAGCTGCTGTAGCTTCTCCACTGGTGCTCAGGCTACGGCTTTGGCGGCCTGCCTCATTTGAATTCACCCTGAGGCGAGCTGGCAGCTGACATCGTTTTTCGATTAGCTGCCCTTTGTATTTGCATTCTGTCTTTCTTCCTCATTTCAACATGCTCCATGAGCAGCCAGAGACGCTTCATCAGCTGTCATAGCATGGTTCCCTTTGCAAGTATGAATAATGCGATTGCTCCTCAGGCACCTGATCCGATCCAAACCAAGACAACACCTTTGTATCTAGATTCGATTCTTCAGGATCATCGGTGAGCATTGATCAAATGTCAAAACCCGCGAAAAGTCAAGCATGACTGGCCGCGACCGGTTCTCATGAATTTACTGGCAACAAGGTATTACTACTGTAGTTTCTTGTTACTAGTAGTGTCCTTACTACTAGTAGCGATGCCCTTGTTACTAATAGCGATGCCCTTGTTTACTAGTATAGCTTCTTGTTACTGGAGTTTCTTGTTGCCTTAGGGCCTCGATGGACAAACCAAGACTCGACTCGCATATCTCGTCGACCCCGGTGACCCGAGGTGCAGGCCGTGATGCTGAAGAGAGCTGCTGAAACAAGCTGCTTCTTGATTCCCCAGCCAAAGGCTGCTTCTTCATGTTGGGAATTGTGCAGCTGTGAAAAAGGACGCATGTGGTGCACTTACGAAGATTACGTGCAGATGCGATCAGACGGGACTGAAGAGGAATAACATGGGTTTGTCCTTGAGTGCCAATGTTGGCTCCCAGTTGTTCATCCAGTCCAACCTGGCATAAGGGCACGGTTGGGATTGCTATGTTTTTGATCCAGAACAGGCCTTGAGGATTGGCACTGCTCGCCTCGCCTCGACCCTTTTGGCTGAGTCACTGTTTCGAGAAAGTTGGCCGGCAGACACGGCAGCCGGAGCCTCGGTTTCTACATCCCTGGAGTCAGTGAGTCTGAGACGTCTCACCGGGCCAGACCATGGCGCCGGGCCAGTACTCCACCGATCCAAAGCAGCATACGCCACAAACTCAGCACTTTAGCACTGCTCCGACCTGTGTACCGAGCATGCTAGGGCTGCCACTGATTAAGTATGTCCGGGAAGACCTGAGCACTACTAATAGCTTGGAGACCATCGCTATTAGGTTGGAGGCCATCGCTACTAGCAAAAAGGGACATGTTTGGTGTATCGATGTTGGATTTCATGGTCCAGTTTGGAGGCTGTCTCCAATCGTCACGGGGGCCACCGTGATTGGCATGAAGTACAAGGATGGCGTCATCCTGGCCGCCGACACATTGGCGTCAGAGCACCCAGAAAACAGAAACAAGGACAAAGGGAAGGTAAGGCCTCCTATAAGCCCTCCCCTTCTCCGACTGGTTAGGCCATAAAAAGACCGCTTTCTTGAGTGTTCTTCTGAAATGCGTTCTGTCCTGTGTCCGAAATAGAACACAGGCCGTTTTGTAGCCACAGGGCCTTTTGATTGCTGGATTCAGCATATGCTCTCAAGTTCAAGGTCGTATGGTTCAGAAGCCCGCTACAAAGACGTGCAACGGGCTTAAATGCAGCACAATAATTGTTTGAGAACAACTCTGCGGCCTTTCGTTGCTTCAGTTCTTGATTTCCAGGTGTCGATTAAAGAAAGTGGGCGAATACACACTGCTTGGTAGGAGCCCTAGTCAAAAGATGTCAAAAGGCATCACTGGTGGATGAAGGGAGTAAGCAACCAGCAGCAACCTCACTTTTCCTCAATCATGCCATTGTTCCGTGTTGTTCATAGAGTTGAAGGTGAGGAAGAATATGGAAGAATATATACAAATGCGAAAAAGAAACACAAATACTAGTCCATACCAGCCCCAACCCGACAGAGACGCTGACAACCTCTAGGTGGCGGCGGCGAGCTGAGTGACTTCCAGTACTTGAGCGACCAGCTCGACGAGATGGCGGATGAGGACGAGGGAGGCTTTATATCGCGATATAAATGTTTATGGTATGACTTTCAATGAGTTTATGAGTGATTTTCACACTCAAAAGTCCTTACGTTGCAGATCAGTGACAGGTCAAAGTTTTGATCAGCTTGCAAAAGGACTGGCTCAATGAGGATGGCTGCTTCATGGGAGCGGGCCTTTGCCAGAAGTTTTGGATGATCCAAGGGTCCAAGGGCTTCCGGAAGGTCTGATGTACAGGATATATTATGTGTTTACACATGGATATAGTGCAAATAACTGTCAAATATATGTTACCCGCCCCAACAGATCTCAGGTCCAAAAGAGTACTCCTCGTACATTGGCCGAGTCATGTACAATCGCAGAAGCAAGCACCTTGATGGCAAGAATGATGGACGCCAGGCTTGTCCTTCAGCGAAACCTGCTTGTTGAACCTGTACAAGACTTGAGGTTCAATCCATTGTACAATCAGTTTGTGGTGGTTGGCAAGAAGAAGGCCTCGTGCATCTTATCAACTGCATCAGGTTCAGACAGTATCCTTACTTGGCAGGACGAGCCAGCCCACTTGATGTATGTCGACCATCAAGGTGGTTTCATTATTTGCAGTGTGTGCGGGCTTTGTGTGTGTATTGTACAGATAGCTCTCATGCTTCAGGAACGGCGTTTGAGGAGAACTTTGTAGCCACTGGCTTCGGCATGCATTTGGGAATGTCATCGGCTCAATGTTAGAATTTTGATGAATTTTGACATGGTCGATTGTTGGAAATGCCATATTTCCAGTAGTAGAATAGAGTCAGAGTCAGGCTTAAGGGCGCTATTTGAGCATTGCTCAATGTGATATCCACAAAAGCAAGCAGACGTGACCCGCAAGAAGTGTGGTTGACTAGTGGCTCTTTTCCCTGCAGTCCACTGCTGCGCAACAGCTGGCGTGCTGACATGAGCCTGTGACTCAGTGTGTCCGTTCTAAGTTGACCACACCGAGACTTGCACATGCAGGAAGTTAAGTCAACACATTCTGCCCAGCTCCAGTCCTTGGGATTTTGTTCACTTTTTTGCCCGGATTCCCACTCATTACCCAACCCTCAGAGTGGCCGTGGACGATGATAGCTGTTTCTGCACCTAAAGATGACAAAGTTTCTGATGACCTTGAGGCCTTGATGAAGCCAAAGCACTGGCCACCAAGTGCCTTGAGGTTTGCTTCTATCGCTGGCAACTTAATCAGACCAACTCCACGCAGTCCACGAAATGTTGGCAAGGTGATGCCTTTTGCTGAGCTGCAAAGTGGATTAGCGAATTTCTCAAATACTGTATTTGTAAGGTGATTGCCGAGCCTATTGCAAGATTCACATTGGAGTGTGTAACGGAACATCAGTCCAGTTCTGAGAAGACTTTGAGAAAGAGGCTGCTTTCAAGAAGGTCTTGAGTCTTGATCATTTTGCTTTCTGAGGTTGACATCAGTGCTCCGATTCCTTTGAATCACTTCTGGGGTCATTCAACTCAGTATTCTCACACAGTTCCCTTCTCGCTGCAGCTGAAGCAAGACACAAAACCACCAACATACCCATTCCCGAGGCCATGGTGCCTGGACGGAGAAGCGTTTGGAGGTGCCTGAACTCGCCATGGCACTCGCCATGGCACGCGTTCGCTTGACCCTGCGCCGGAACTCGCTTTGAAGTCGTTGGAGCTCGTTTCCAGGACGATGATCCCACAGCAACTTGGTAGAGCACCGAATATCTGAGAGAAAGGATTGTCAGCAGATTGAGTTTTATCCGGAATGTAAGCATGGAAGACACATGAAGACACTCATATGCTGGAGAAAAATGGCTTGGAAACGCATGCCTCACTATCTACTCTTGCAGCATAAACACGCAGAGCTTTGGAGCAATCAATTCGAGAAGAGCGTGGAGGTTCACCCCGAGTAGTGGAACAGGCCAGAGAGCGATTCACACGCCACGCTGCTGTAAAAAGTACCAGGGCGGCTCCACTCCATGCAGATATGAAGGCACCTACTTTCGATTACTTTCGCATTGGCTTGTCGAATTCATTGCTTCCTTTGCCCTGTTGAGTTGTTTGCAGTCTCATTGCATTGGCTCTTGGACCAGGTGTCGGTTCATACCCTATGGGTGCCACACCGCACAGCTCTTTGCACACCTCTCAACCCACTGGTGCTCAAGGTGAACATGAGTCAATATCACCTCATCTCTATATATATATAATTCTACTAGTATATAATATATAATATAGTAATATTATATAGTTGTTTTACAAGTTCTTGCCATTGCCATGCCGACACGGAAGGCCAGTGAAGATTGGTATTTTGAGCTCAACTTGCATTGCGCGGAGCGATGCATGCCACACGCCTTTCTTGAAGCAGTTGCATCTTATGGCATAACTTATGGATGGTTCAAGCTGACATAAGCGCAAGGTCTTTTCACGGTGGGAAACTTCACCTGATTGTCGATGGAATCCATTTTCAGCATCATGGCAAGCCAAGCAGGCAAGAAAGAAAGCCAAGCAGGCAAGAAAGAAACATCGCCATCAAAGATGTGAAGATGTATGGAGTTTTGTTGGAGTGTCAAGTCACGTTGGTGATTGTTCCGCAATTCTTCATGGAAGCTCTTCAGCCATGGGTTAGGCGCATGCCTGAAGGGCATGTGCTTGCCTGCGTAATCCAATGCCGCTTTGGCCGATCCAGAGAGAGAGAGAGAGAGAGTGAGTGAGTGAAACAGACTCTATTCTGACAGGCCCTGCAGCAAGAAACCTTTGGTTCGAAGGAACATGCTGTTTTGAGGGAAGACTGCTTGGCTGAACAGAAACGTTTCTGCCAGGAGTTCGAGATAGTGATACTGTAAGCAGTTGTGAGAGGTTTTGGGTGGAGTTGCTGTAAAGCGTGCTTCTTTGAGTGCATGCTGCCACGAAGTGTGGCGTGATCCTGGCTGGCCTTATTGTAAGGGCTCCGCCCGGGTGCCGCCGACCCCTTTTCATCTCGAGGGTTTGGCGGTTGAACCTTGACAACTTCCTGGGATTCAACAGCGAGACTTGGATGGGCTTCACACCAATGCTGGCATTCAACCAGCTGCCGAGAAGAGGGCAAGGCTGCGGTGAGGCTCTGGGGAGCGTTTGAAGCCGAGCCAAAATGCCTAACGTTGCCTTCGGAAGCCCATAAGAAGAGAGGAGGCTTCGGACAGGCCACAGAGAGGCCGCAAGAGGCCTCCCGGCTGCCGAGAGGCTTTTGAAGCCGGTCCAAAATGCCTCACGTTGCCTTCGGAAGCCCATAAGAAGAGAGGAGGCAGGCTTCGGACAGGCCACAGAGAGGCCGCAAGAGGCCTGCCGGCTGCCGAGAAGCTTCGGACAGGCCACAGAGAGGCCGCAAGAGGCCGAAAAGCTTTTGAAGGCGGTCCAAAATGCCTAAACGTCGCCTTCGGAAGCTTGCCGAGAAGAGGGCAAGGCTGCGGTGAGGCTCTGGGGAGCGTTCCAAAATGCCTAACGTTGCCTTCACAAGCCCATAAGAAGAGAAGAGGCAGGCCTGCCAGCTGCCGAGAAGAGGGCAAGGCTGCGGTGAGGCTCTGGGGAGCGTTTGAAGCCGAGCCAAAATGCCTAACGTTGCCTGCGGAAGCCCATAAGAAGAGAGGAGGCAGGCTTCGGACAGGCCACAGAGAGGCCGCGCGCAAGAGGCCTGCCGGCCGCCGAGAGGCTTTTGAAGCCGGTCCAAAATGCCTAACGTTGCCTTCGGAAGCCTATAAGAAGAGAGGAGGCAGGCTTCGGACAGGCCACAGAGAGGCCGCAAGAGGCCTGCCGTCTGCCGAGAGGCTTTTGAAGCCGGTCCAAAATGCCTCACGTTGCCTTCGGAAGCCCATAAGAAGAGAGGAGGCAGGCTTCGGACAGGCCACAGAGAGGCCGCAACAGGCCGGCCAGGTGGTGAGGCCTCGGACAGGCCTTTGGAAGTGCTTGGAAGGGTTCTGCTAGGCTTGGCCAACTGCTGCATCCTGCGCTTTTGGAAGTGCTTGAAGGGTTCTGCTAGGCTTGGCCAACTGCTTCACCCTGCGGTGTCCCAGGCGCCTCCCCGCCTAGGCTTTGGCTATAGGCCGGGGTCGGCGGATTATTGACATTGATTGACCCAGCTTGCACTCTTGACAAGCTTGCGGTAAGGGGCCTGCGACTTAGGCATTTCTTCTCCTGTGCATCGTGTGAAGTGGCCTGCACAAAAGGCACCTTTGACTGCTTACTGAGTCATTTTTCTTGGTTCATCCTGTTCTTCACGAATTCCATCGTTGCTCAGTTAGCTTCCTTTTGAGGAGAGATATTGGAATTCGTTTCTGCGGGCTGTGGCCGTGATGCAATAGAGCCATCCCCCTTCGAGGGCGTCACCCAGGAGGAGAGAAAATGCATGTTGGACCGGACTGAAGAAATTTGTTTTTGTAACGGAGTTTCTTCTCCCAAACTCCACCCCCACTTTGGCATCCAAACCAACAGACATCGGCTCCGAGCCAGCACCGGATCATTTTTAGCCCTTTTCACCGACGATTCGGAAGGAGCGCTTGCGCGGCGAAGACCTCCGGAAGATCCGCGCTGAGCTGCAGGGTCGCGCGGATGGGACACAGCGGGGCGGGATCCCAGCGGCGTGACGGCCCCCAAAAGGGGTTGACAGTTCCAAACGGTTGATGTTTGTGTTTGCAGCAACTTTGTGGCTTGGCAAGTCTATTGGGAAAAGCGAAGTCCGGATGTTACTTGAGTGGACGTTCCATTCCCAAAACCTCTTCTGCTGTCTTCTGTCCACTTTTCTAGGAGCAAGGACTACCCTGGGATATTTGGGGCAAAGGCGGGAACGGAGGACTCTGATTGACTCTGACTTTTCGGTGCCATTTTAGATCTAGGGCTTCGTGCCCCTTTGAACGGTCATGCAGGTCAACAGACACATCAAGAGATCTCAGCAACCATCGTTGGACGGGGATCTGGGTTTTCTAATATTTTGTTGGCATTTGGTGGGGACATTGGAAACTGTCGGAACATGTATGTAGCATATACATTTTACAGTTCTGCAGGGTTTCAATTGCAAGGGTCAGGGAATGGCTTTCATTGAATCTTGTTCGGAAGAGAATAATCTGGTTTGGAGGATCCACGGGATGTCTCATATTAGCCATGGCATTGCTCGGACGCTGGCTGTGTGCAACGTTGACATCCACTGCTGGATGGACACGAAACCACTTGAGCATGGAGCTGGGGAAACTGGAGAAGGAGCTGCGGCCATCATCGCAGCAGTTGCAGGATGCGCAGCAGATGCTTCAAAAGCTCAAGGCTGTTTGTCGCAAACTGGGTGGAGACCTGTACTGCTATGGCTCCAGTAGCAACGGTACCTTTATGCAGGGCTCCGATGTTGACCTGAGTTGGATCTGCGACGAGCGGCAGTTGCTAAACAGATTTGCTCGTAGATCCGGCATGCGCGAACGGTCAATGGCACCATCGCCACCACCACTGCCACCAGCACCACCACCACCACCACCACCACCACCACCACCACAAATGCCAACACGGAAGGTACCACCACCACCACCACCACCACCACCACCATCAGCTGCACCATCATCAACAGTGCTGCAAGCAGTGCAACCTCAACGACCTGCACCACCACCAAAGGCAGACCCGATGAAGCCCAGGGCTGAGGTTTCTCGACAGCCAGAGAAGGAAAAGATTGTGCACTTCAAAGCTTTGAAGCTCTTGCGAGAGCATGTGGAACGTGTGAAGATGATTGGTGTGAAGAAGGTTTGGGTGCAGAAAGCAAGAGTCCCGGTGCTCAAGTTCTTTGGGGACAATGATGACGTTCTTTGCGATGTTTCGGTGAATAACACCGAAGGTATATCAAACTCCATTCTGGTGCGAAAGTTTTGCGGTACTGAGCCAGCCCTTGCTCCAGTACTACGCTTGTTAAAGCATTGGGCTCGTTGTCGTGAGCTGGGTGACCGCGCAAAAGGTGGATTTAGTACCTACACTCTTGTCCTGATGACCGTGCATGTCCTTCAGGAAGGTGAAACGGACTTGACACGGCAGAAGGTGCAAAAGCTGAGTGAAGAGAGCAGGTTTGTCGAATCTGTCGAAGCTTCAAGCATTTGGCACAAGGAAGCAGACAATTTTTCCGAGCAGCGCATCACCGAAACTCTACGCCGCTTTTTCGATTTCTATTCGCAGCCGGCCTTTTCTACAGGTGGCGTTGTGCGTGTTGCTCCAGCACAGCATACACAAGAAGCACACGAAAGTACCCCAAGTTTGCAGGTGATTTGCCCATTGACTGAGATCGACGTTCAGCGGAGTCAAACTCATGAGTGGCATCGGATGTTCCAGGAGATGGAAAGGGGTGCCAAGCTCTTCAGAGGCCACGAGGAGCAGGTCGTACCACTGCTCTTCCAATCGAGGCGAGACAACCAGCCACCGCCACCACCCCCGATGTCTGATGTCAGGACGCTGTTTGATGCGGGAGAAAAAAGGGCAGAGCAGTTGATACTTATTGTTCTCAGCGCAGTTTCCTTTCATTTGATGTCCACAAAGACACACAAAAAAGCTGCTGCTTAAAATGTCATTGAATCAATTTCCAAGGGATGAGTTTCGTTTGATTCCGGGAACTCTCTACCAAACCTGCCAAACCTGCCCATTGTAGTATCATTGTAGTCTAGGTCTAGGCTAGATGACCTCCAGACTACCACACGGGCTTTGGGCCGTTGTGGGGTACGTTTAGTGTCAGATGGGCATCGGTGGGCGGAATGCTCAACTACGGGCATTGCATGATCAACTCATCCTTCGACATCAATGGTGTTGGAGCGTCCGTTGTTGGTGCAGGGTGCATCACGGTGCTAGCTGATACACCATGATCCGAGACGTGCGAAGATAACACATGGAGACTGGAGACTGCCCCAATAAGAGTGGATGGTTGGATTCACTAAAAGATAAGGAAACTGGTTGAGAGTTGAGAGCTTGGTGTCTCGAAACTTAGGGCTGGCGCCTCGCTTCGCAGTCAGCTCCAAGGTCTGTCAAAGTCAGAGGAGACCCCTGGCACTGCGCGGAGCCGCGCACGCTCGCGCGATCTCAGCCTCAGCCGGCAAGCCACCACCACAGGCGTGTTCTTTGGTCGGTTGCACCTGGCCAAGACACCCGGGTGTGGCGGTGCGTGGTCATCGCAGCATTTCTCGGAAGGCAGCGACGCATCGATCGCAGCCCACTCGGCAGGTTTGGCGGAGGACCCTCCGCCCGAGACGCCTCAAAGCCAACTCGAGAACTCGGAGATCGATGAAGCGCCTCACCTCTTGCGGTGCCTTGGGCCACTCTTGGCCACGCTTGGTTGATGGGTGTATGTTTAGTTTTTTTTAGTCGCATGTCGTTTCATGATGTAAAATATATTCTAGGTTTGCTCCTGAAGATGGCTCAATAGGGATATACACTCACATGCATTACCACTATATAATCTTCCAAAACCTATTCCTCAGTTTAGTCCTTGTGTCCGTGGACAAGCGTAGCAAGCGTAGTCATAGTTGCAGAAATTTTGATGTGACTCGCTGACATGCCCAAGGCGAAATCTTGACTTACTCTCACCCATTCAGGAGAAGAAGGCAGTCCAGCTGAGACGTTGACTGTGTTGCAACGAAATGGACACACGGCAGTCAAAAGAACAAAGGCACGCTCGGTTGCTATGGTCAGGCTTGTTGAACAGGCAGCATGGAAAGAACTTTGCAGTTTTAGGCAACTCAGCCCCCAACGCACCACTCCATGTTTCTTGTACTCCAGTGCAAGATGCCGTGGATTGGACATTTTCCAGGTTGGAGAGCGGATCACGCTTGCCTTATCTCGAGCAATGAACAAGATATCTTGCACCAGGCTGGAAATCGATTCGTAGCAGGCTAGCATGCAGAGGAAGCCAAGAGAGTTTTACACTATACCAGCTGATGCGGTACTATTTGACCAGCACATACAGCTTTAAGATGTGTTAAGTGCATTTGTTGCACGACCGCGTGAGACTCTGGGTGCACACTGCACATGAGTCTATTGTCTTCATGTTGTTTGGTTGACTCCCATGACATCCCAAGCTGCTTGCATCCCTTTGTGTCATGAGTCACGATGCACGAGGTGCCTTCGGGTCTCTGTGGCGGACTGTGATAGAGATAAAGTCATCAAGGAGGCCAGCTGAGCAAAGCCTGACCAAGCACCGAGAGTCCGTGATCCAGAGAAACTTGATTTCTGATGATTTCTGGCTTCTTTGAGCAGGCCATTTTCGGGGCATACCTGTCAAGTGATGGGCTGCTTGACTTGCATCGTTTCAGCCTCCAATTCGTGTGCAAACTGGAGATGATGCTGGTGACACACTGCCTCGAAGTGTAAAACTGAGGACTATGGTCGATGTGGAATCATGGTACAGAGAAGTCCAAAATGAGAAGCTACCCGAAAAGCTCGGGAACACACCACGCTGCTTAGCCTCGATGTAGTTTGAGTTTTCTTGAAGTTCCATGTCCATGGAGTCCGAAATGTCCTTGTTCTTTGCTGCCTTGCGCAGAATGCATGCCTTCCACGCTGTGAGGCTCTGGCCCTTCAAGCAGAAGCGCATCAAACATCATGCTTGCTCTTCTTGAGGCGTGGTACCTGGGGTGACATGCAGGAGAGGTGTGGTACCTGGTTCGGAAATCCGGACTTTGGCCGTCGGCCGTCGGTGAAACTTGCTTCGTGCCGTCGGACACTTGGTCACGCCGCCGGATGTTTGGTCCTTGCTGCGGACACTGGTCTTGAGCATAGATCGAGAGGAACTGATCATTGGGCATTGGTCATCCCATCACAAAGCAGCCAACCCTTACAATTCTCGTTTCGTTTCCAATGTCACAATGTATAAGGGCAGTGACATCCAAGGAAGCATAGTAGCATATAGTAGCGTTCCGACAAAGGAGTTGCTCAGGCAGCAAGAACCTTCCTTCGTACCTGGAGAGACCTTTGCTTGGCCTGTCAGGATGGCAATCTTCCGCACCGAGTGGAGCCTTGCTCTGGGCTTGACCGACCACTCTCAGAGAAACTTGGCAATTCAGACTGGGAGTTGTAAGGGCATGCTAGAACCCGTGCTCAAATTGCATGCAAATCCCTGCCCACGCCATCCCACGCCGATAGATTTGCGCTAAGGTACTGGATCAATTCAAGCCACAATTCTTACTTGCAGGCTGGCATTGTTTTGGGCTTGCTTCCCGATTGGTTGGGCTTTGATTATTTTTGGACAGTCACGAAAGCGATCTCCGAAGGAGTTAGATCGAAAGGATCAATTGAAAAAACACTACAAACGCCCCCCACTCTGTAGCCCAGTTACCGGAGAGTTTTAGGATGACCATATGGAAGTCGTGCAACTGGATTCGAAGATTGATACACCAGGTTTATTATCGATGAGACAGTATCACTTCAAACCGACTTTTTCAACTTCGGCCAGTCCACATGCGTCGTTGTCATCGCTTTCGTTCCCCGCCTCTCAAATTATATAATATAATAGTATAACATAGTATAACTATATTTATAACTATTATATAAGACATTAAACTACTATATAAGTATATATATGTGTGACTATATATGTTCAATTTATTTCAATTTGTTTTGCAAGAACAGCTTCACTTGACAGCTTCAGGGGAATCAGCTCACCAGCACCTCCTCAGCCAATGCACTCGCTGGTTTGCTTCGCAACGGCTGTCGAGTCGTAGAATTGGATGTGGCTTGGACCAGTCAGTCTTCTGTAGCACCCAGCCAGATTTCTACATAAGTAGCAGCAGTAGTAGGATGCAACCCCCCGTACTTACCAGTCTACAAGGAGCCCCTGGCAATGAAAGCAATTCTGGCTTTGAGTGTCTTGTGTTCTCGGGTTGCATTGCAATGCTGCCAGCACTGTATCATAGCGGCTTCAGCACAAATCCAGAATCCGTTTTGGTTCAGGTATATGATGGCCAAAAGTATGGGATGCAAGGCACTGACAACCTCGTTGGATAAGCAAGCTGGCACGGGCTGTGCGTACTGCGCATGCTTTCTAAGGGACTAAAAGAAGTCAAACAACATCAAGCATGTCCGACACCTTCATGAGTAGAACAGGCGGTGAGTTCAGTGATGTTCAGAGCGTTGTCGAGGCCCATGCGTCCTGCACGGCGGAACAGCGACCACAGCTGTTTCTTTTCAAGCCTGCTTGGAGGCGTCAGTCGGATGCTGTGAGACGGTCAACAAACACTGCCTGGATGTGATGCTTCGCTTTTGAGGCCATCCGAGATGCTGCTTTTGAAACCTCAGCATGTCCTGTCATCATCACTCTGGAGAATTACCTGTCGCAGGAGGGTCAGAGGCCTGGCTTAGGCAAAGCATTGCAAAACTATGGTTTTGGTGGCTGCGATGAGTTTCGGGGTTTTTCCCATTGAATCCCATTGATACAGTATGTATTGGATTGTATTGGTGTTCATTGGTTTTCTATGATTTTTGGTTTCAACAAAACACATAAGACAACTCTTACTGAGTCTGTAACCAACAATTGCTTTTGTTGATGGTCCTCTCATGTACTGTCATTGGTCCAGCGAGTCTTGAGTACAGTGCATCCATCCGAGCAGGCAATGTGCGAATCTTCTAAGAGATGTACTTGGCCATTCACTTTATGTCTCCCTGTCCTGTTCTTATGATCGTGCATGGATGGATGCAGACGGATCTCACCCAAAAACGAGAACCACATTTACAAGCAGTAGATCGAGCTGCTGTGCTTTGTTGAGATGTCCTCCATCTGACCGAGAGACCAGCCACAAAACAGCTGGAAGTTTAGATTTTCAGTCTTGCCAGGTGCCACCACCACAGATGCTTTCCTGGCCATCTCCTGGAGAGCTGCTAAATCGCTTCCTCTTACGAGACAAGCTGCTCAGCTTTTGGAATCGGTTTGACGCTTTGCTTCAGATCTTTCAGATGTTATGTACGACAAGAGCATTGAAAAAAACAAGAAGCTACTAGGAACAAGTGCATCGCTACTAGTAACAAGTGCCTTACTAGTAGTAACGAGAAGCTACTAGGAACAAGAGCATGTTAGTAGCTTCTTTCAAACGTAGCAACTTTGCTATCCAAACTTTTTGGCGACCTGCTTCGAAGCCGAGGTCCTGGCAACCTGAAGACGCAGTGTCTTGTCATTCTTGGGGTCGGAAGACTTGTAGGAACCTGCTTTTTCCGGCATCTGAGGGGTAGGTTTGGCAACACTGCATCAAGATCCCATCAAAATGGATCATCAGATGCGATCTCCATCGATCCTCAGCTGCGATGTCACACCCTCAGTCCGCATGCGACTTTGTGCCGAGTCCCCAAAGTCGAATGCTTCTTCCAATGCCTCCTGGCGGGCAGCGCGTGTGCCCGAGCTTCACAGGCAGCTCGGTCTGTGACTCGGGCGCCGTTCTGGTGGTTATGAATGGTTATGAGCAGCCTAGGTGGCAACCAATTGTTGGCCACCAACTGTCGACAATGGCTCACAATCGCAATAATAGTAAGATACATTAAGATACTATACTAAAGTTGGTTGCGCCATTTCCCTGTGGTAAAGAGGGGGATTTTATTGGGTGCTAGCAGGTTGGGTTGGCAAAGTTTGGCAAAGAAATCCTTGTTTTCCCCACGAGTCCAAGAGGGCCCATACCTTTTGCAGGTCTCCTTGACATGAACACCACAACATGACTGTGACTTGCATCCAAGGCTCATTTCAATCGGCAATGCATCTTTGAAGCAGATATACTCTTTGTGCCAAAGAGCCAAAGGCTCATTGAGCTACCGGATTTTCAGGATTTGTCGTCTTGTTGCCTCTCAGGTCAAGTTTCGATCCTTCAAGGATTGCCAGATCTGGCAGGGATGCACGAGCTCATCCTTTTCAGAAACCAAGCTTTCGCAGCTGATTGCGACACTTGTTGCGCAGTCGACTCAAATAGCTCAATGTTTACACTTGACTTGTCGAGTCTAGAGTTCAGATCGTGGTGGCTCCACCAGTCAGTCCAGTGCAGCTTAGGAAATCTGGTCTGAAGGCGGGAGGTATTGAGAACGGGGTAGCCATGCTGGATCATGCTGGGCTGAGCAACCTTGATCGCTATTTGGAGAGAAGCACTACCCGACCTGGCTTGTTTGGTGCGGAGGAACACATTCTTCCACGGTTTGATTTCATATGCCTGTCTTCAGGCCATGCGCCGCTACACAGCTGTGCATTTGGCGAGAATCTATCCGGCGGGCTACCGGGTGGACTCATCCAACTACGACCCGCAGGACTGGTATTCTGCACCATGAGCACTGTGATCATTTACTGTAGATGTTTTTTTTGTTTAAACTATGGTTTTGTTCACAAATCATTTCACTTCAATTGAACAAGTTGACAGAGCATAATCAGGATGCGTGGGATGCTGGCTGCCAGATGGTTGCTTTGAATGGACAAAAAAGCATCTCGGCTGTGCGGTCCTGGCGCTGAGGCCTAGACCGAAGCCTTGTCAACTTGTCACCGCTGAGGCATTTTCTTTCATCCTCATGCAGCATGGCTCAATGCAGGAAAGTTCAGAGGCCTGGATCTTCGTGAACAACGGAGATGGCTTTGGCGTGCTTCGTGCTGGGACGTTCCACCGAACTCAAGGATGTTCCAGTATATCTATATACATATCACAAGAGCAACTTGCCACAAAAGAACACGTCGTAGAAATAGAGAGAGAGACTGCGATAGACATAATATATATATATGTATGTATGGGTGCTCGCTGATTAGGGGGCCCCTGGGAGTAACATTAACATAAACAATGAGAGTCATACACTCACAAATCGAGAAGTTGCTACCGCAAGAACCTTGTCGTGACTGAAACCAGTTGTTTGCAACATAAAGCCAGAACACCAAAAAACAGCGACAATGATCTGGAAACTATGCCCACTCCTAAAGTCAGAAAACAAAAACACAATGATCTGGAAACTATGCCCAATCCTAAAGCCAGACAACAAAAAACAATGATCTGGAAACGATGCTCAATCCTAAAGCCAGAACACAAAAAAATAACATGATTTGGAGACTATGCTCATCCTACAAAGGTTTGGACTAGTTTGGAAAACATTGTTTTTTTGGTTTGAGCCTCACCTTTGTTGGGACTAGTTGGGAAAACATGTGGGTGTTTTTTTGGTTTGGTCCAGTTTATGCACACTACAAATGCTTATGAAATCACCCCCGCTAACCCTCAAAACTGGGGGGGGACCTTTTTGTGTAATTTACATTTTTGGGGGGGTGGTAAAAATGTAAGCTGACCCCCCGAGGCAAAAATCGATATTACGTTGAGGGGGGTCCCCCCCGGGAATTCCTACGGAATCTCTAGAACTACAGTCAACGACGGTCCCCCCCAAGATTTCGCGTTGTACGGGAGAATATCCAGGTAAGATTCATAACATTCCCAGGAATGACTGAGACAATAAGCATACAACGGTACCAAAAAACAGATTTGGGGGGGGGGGGGGACTATAATTTGGGGGGGGGGGTGATCAAATCTAACTTTGAAAAGGAGAGAGACAGAAGAACAGGCACGTGTCCATGGATTCATTCTCCAGTAGAGTAGAAGAGAAGCAATAAAAAAGTAAAGGATGATATGCACACATGTACCCAAGCATAATTAACTTTTATCGTGATTTGTTGAATCTGTGCGAATCATGTCAAAGATGGTAACCTCCAAAAATGAAAGCTACATTTTTGGACGCCCCTAAACCGGTAGTATGCACCTAGAAATTGAAAGGCAACATATTATCTACAGAACTAGAGATGCATATGGGAAAAGAACAGTCAATAAGTGTCCATGCAAGACCCCTACGATCGAATGGTAACTGAGAAGGAAGGAGAATATACAGAAAAAAAACAGCAGTAAAATGCAGTAGCAGATTCTCACGAGCGGCTCCCTCAGGAAACGCGTAATGGTCCTACGGCCCATTGGTATCCAGGAAGAAGGAAAGAAAGAAATACAGAAAGGAACGGGAAGAGAAGGAAGAAAAGTCTAGAGGAAAAAAGTGGAAAACACAGAAAGGCGGTAAGAAAATGGAACCTTCAAAAATGTAAGCTACATTTTTGGATACCCCTAAACCGGTGGTATGCACCTAGAAATTGAAAGGCAACATATGGAATCTACTGAACTAGAGATGCATATGGGAAAGCAACAGTCAATATAGTGTCCACGCGAGGCCCCACGATCGAATGATAACTGAGAAGGAATCAGGATATACAGAAAGAAACCAGCAGTAAAATGCAGTGGCAGATTCTCACAAGCGGCACGCTTTTTCATTTGCTTCACATCATCAGCTTACATGTTGTTTCCTTTCATGCATTCAGTGCACATATCTCCCAGCCTGAATACATGTATATAACTTACATTTTATTAAAATATGTAAGCTGAAGAAAGGGGAGGTTCCCATGTTGGCTCATATGCATACCTTAAACATGTAATATTACAATTTTAATGTGCGCCCTCAGTCTACCTTAAAAATGCAACATTATGTTTAAGGTCAAAGCCATAGGAAAATGTAAGTACACATTAGGAGGTCCCCTCCCTGCACAGGGGCGGTGATCTTATAAACAATGTCTTCTGATGCAGCAGCCGTAGCACGTCATCTCATCTTTGCACCAATGTCGTTTGCCTTCGAAGCGCTGTGTAAAGAAGCTGGGTCCATGCAGTTGACAAAGCTGGAACAAATCTGCGCACGGAATTGTTTACAATTTCATCTCCAACAACAAGGTATATATTATCCTGTGAGTAAGACTCAAGGTTAGAAACTCTTTGACAAGTTGAATTGTTCATAACAGTTCAACCGTTCATATCAATATGAAATCCACACCCACAATAATTTCACTAATTGTTGATACTATCCAAGAACCACTGAACACTTACATATCCTTCTTTTGGTGCTTTTCTTTTGGCTGCTATATCCTACATTTTGTATTTTGCTTCATCAAAATGTTTTGTTTATCGGGCATTTTGTATTAAAGCCATCATTGGTACCATTATTGTACCTATAGATCTTACCTTATACAAAAAGGCTATCCAATTCCATTCGGATAATGTTTTACAAGAAAACTGCCAGAATACTGCCAGAATCAACTGTTGCAATATGTCCACCAATGCGATTTCCTTAAGCAGAATGGCAAGTTGAACACCAAGCAAGAATGAAATTTGCTTTTCGTTGTCAATCTCTAGTTTTTGAAGCATAGTTGTTTTCTTTCACATTCTTCAAGGTAATGTCCTTACCAATATGACAAGTGCGTTTGAATTTTTCGTTGAAAGCACATGTTTGTGATTTGGTACACTCAGCATATCAAGAATTCATCTACTTCATATTAATGTGTTTCCGCTTTCCAGCTTCTTAGCCTCACCTGATACATGTTTACAGGTCGCATTCAATCATGCTACGTTCTATGCTGACCTCATAATATCCTTCATAGTGTGTGATATTGTTTAGCTTTTGTTCATCCGCTTTTATACTTGCAGCAATATTTTGCTCAAACATATTGTCAACCACTGCATCAGCTGTTTCAGAATCTTTAGTGTTTGTCAGCTCCTGAACATGTTATTTAGTTGTTTGGCATTACCTGTTGCAGAAAAATATTGCTCAACAATTTTTTGGTTTTCCAATAAACACTCAACCCGATGAAGTAGATTTAATCAAATATTGTTACATCAAATTCAGAATAATCAAATGGTTCTATTTTAGCATCACCAACGCTTATACCAAAAATATTGTTTATTGTTGTGGCATCACTGTCAGAATCGTGTATAGTATATAATAACTCATTAGTAGGGCATACAATAATACTGTGTATCCATTATCAACCATGTTCTGGCAGATATGACTTTAGCCTGCTCCTGCAAATAGTCTCCTGACCACTACCGGTTTCACCTTCTCAATTTCACTAACAGTATCATCAGTGTCATACTCATCAATTTTAGTTTCTCTCTTTTAGATGTAGAGATCAAGTAATATGTTAAGGTTGCTTGTATCTCTACAATTTGATTTTCTACAACTTGGTAAAGTTCATTCGGTAACTTAATATCCGCATACTTGTTCACTCTCCAGCCTCCAAGCCTAGTAATGCAATTAACTTGTTTACTTGTTTTTTTTATCTTCAGCCTTGATGGTGAAAGCATCAATCTTAACACTATGTGCTGTAATACCAACATGCTTCAGTCTAAAGTAGGCTTTATACATTGAAAACATTGTGTTTGTAAAAGAAACTCTTTGACATACCTGTATCCATTTTGTAATGTGCCTAAGCCTTATCCTTCAAATCAAACATGTACCGTAATATGCTTCCTGTTCAATTTCAAACGATGAATGGCAACTATGGTTTCCCTCACATCCTTCTTCAGCTTCTTGCCGAGTCACTACACTTACACACACATATATATATATATGTATACTGTATATGTATATGGGCGGGGCGCTGACATTAGCACTTACAACTTTAAGTTCAATAGGTCTTGGAACACTCGGGGCCCCCTAATCAGTGCCCGCCTATCACAAGAGCAAATTGCCACAAAAAACGCCGAAAGAGAGAGAGAGGGAGAGAGAGAGAGATATAGACAGACATATGTAGGTATATAATATATGTATATATAGAAGAGCTTGGCAAAGGGGCTCGAAATTCAAATGTTTGGGCACCTCCAGTGATGGGGAAGCCTTGCCGCCACGCCAGGGAATGGAGGATGTGGCTTCGTCCAGAAGCCCCTCCACCTGTTGTCGGACGATCCACCAAAGCCGAAGAGGCGCCCAAATACAATTTGGACGATGGGCATCGATTCTCCAATGCTCCAGTGAACATTCATTCATCAGAAATTTATAGCATGTTATAGAAACTTGTAGACACTTTTTCCTTCAATCCTCTTGGTTTGGCCCGTTTGAACCTTTTGCCACGTTGAGTGCTTTGCGCCCCTTCTGCAGGCTGCTGATCACCGTTCTGGGCGGCGATGGATGGGAGGCCTTCCGAGACTTCGACCTTCTTGGGCCTCCAGATTCCTATGTATGTCCGAACCTTGGAAGACTTCCTTCATGAGGTCCCTGCCGGCTTTGGGCCTCGATGTGTTCGACCGACGGGGACAGCTTCTAGTTTTGGTTTAGCCTAGACTGATGTTTCTTTCTGCTACATCCAGCGAAATCGCACCATCGCTGAATCGGGACCTGGTTTCTACTCATCGGGACACATCAATATCATCAATCATGAGGCCAATTTCATAGCTGGATCACGCCAGTTTGTGTGAGCGTCCCAGGTGTTGAAATCGCGGGAGCTTCCTCGGACCGAGCCATGGCCAAATTCAATTTTGTACTCCTTTCGGAGGGAAAGCATAGGAAAGCAGTCTTCTGGGTAAGCGCGTTCACGAGCGTGCCCGTGGAAATACGGTTCATGGTCTATGGTCCAAGCGAGTAACATCGGCACAGGTCGGGTTGGAGTAGTATGACATAGTATGACAGATGTGGATGTGCAGCCTTCTGGGCCAAGGACGACTTGAAAAGACGTCAGTCTATACTGCCAGGGTGAAGACTGGACCGAAGGCACACTCTTGGGTAATTACCACCAAGTGTGACGGGAAGCAGCGTACTGAAACTGAAACAGTCTGAAACACGCCTCACTCGATCAAAGCAATTGTGCGAGGCGCAACCTGTGTGGAAACAATGCTTTGAATTTGTGCCTTGGCACTGTACTGGCAATTAGATGCAATTAGTGTCATTCCAATGAACAGCTGGTCCTTGAGGCCATCACTGACATGGCCTTGGCGGTCGTCATGCTCGTTGCTTGGGATCAAGACGTTGATTTTGACGATCTTCTCGGCCAGACACTCAATCGGCATGCAGTTCAATCACTGGGCATGCTGAGAGGCAGTTGCTGTTTTGGCAAGGTCAGTATGCATTTCCTCTTGCTGAGCTTAAGCCGGGCTGGCGTCGAAGCTGGCTGCATGCATGTTGTGTTTTTTTTGAATTTGTCAGGGTCTTTAGGGTTTTGTGCAATTGCAGGTGTCATATCGAGGGATGTTGAGGTGCCAGAACTAAGGAGTACCACTCTTAAGCAGCAGTGGTGAAATCCAGGAGGGTAATCCGGCGCTCATTTGTCGTTTTGAATTACAGTAGTGGTGCGGAGACTCAGCTCATTTCTTTTGAGACTACCTGACTACCAGCGTTTTTTTTCAGACGAACGGTATGACTATAGGTATGACTACCCTGATCGCCCGTCGCCCGAGGTGGAGCCTTCGGAGCCTCACACACCGAAGGTGGTGCCGTTTGGGCGGAGCCATGTGGAGCCTCCTCGTTTGCGACCTGTTTGCTGAAACGGCAAGCAACGCGTTCTTCAACACGGTGTCATTCAGGGCTAAGCAGAGTGTTTCAGAAGGATTTGACAGACCTAAATATACACACAAGGAAATGAAACTAAGGTCTTTCCCTGTTGTTTGGCAATTTTTTGAGGTCATAAAGCCACTAGGGCGCGTTCAGCTACATCTCTGCAAAGCAGGAAGACTCCGACCAGGAGTGTAACTGAACGAAGTCCACAGAGTTTTAGTGCCGATGAATGATGAGTTAGTGCATCGCTTGGAGCACCTGCGAAGTGAGATTTCGGGCTGTACTTTCCTCGTTACTTGCATGACAAGTATGTAGGATTCAGTATTTCACAAAATCGGCTTGACTCTCACTTTCTGGAAGGACTCGTGAGTGCCTTCTGTGCATGCATTGTGATTAAAAAGATGCCAGCCATACCCAGCCATGCCGCTGACTTTTTTGATCAAGTTGAACGTGGCTTGACTCTCTTGATTAGGCCCTGGTGATTGGAATCAACTATGCAGGCCCGTGGAATTTAGGGCAAGGGTCATGGGTTTCGGCCCGCGCTGTGTTGGCAAAAGGTGTTCAATGTTTGACAGCTGTTCTCGTTCCGAAGAGCGAGCACAAGCTTCGTCGTCATAGAATCCACCAGAACAGCTGCCAGACATTTGCAAACGTGTTTGGTGTTGTCCCAACTCAAGACCCCCTTGGATTCGCCTGTTTGCAGGTGCTAGGTTTGGTGTCTTCTAGGTTCTGGGTACTCTCCTTGTCTCCAACTTTTTCTCGCTTCTTCGTTCTGTCCCGGAAGTTTTCTTCGTCCACTTCATACCTCTAGCTTAAGCACGCCACCTGATCCCAGTGAGCGCTAGTTCCAGGATGTATTGGAAGGCCTTGAGGGTCTATTGGATGCCATTTTGATTTGTTATATTATGTTATATTAGAGCTTTTACAACACAGAGTTGTTGCGCTTCAAATAGTCCGATGCTAACAACGCTGATGGAACATCGGTGACCTTGTCTCACTTGCAGGCTCTGATTCTGAGTTGCATGGTGCAGTACACGACGCAAAACAATGGATGCAGGCCCGTGACGCACATTCCCGCTCACTGGTGCGGGTCGTACTCTGCCCTCTCTGAATCAGATTATTTTTGAGGAGACGTTGATGTAGACACGAAGAATGTGGCTAGCTTTTTCAATATCCCTTGGCACAGATGAACCATGATAAACTTAGACTCTCAGAACACTAATTGAACTCTGCAGCTTCAAAATGCCATGAACAAGGCTTGACTGCATGCGAGCGGAATGTTTGGTTGCAATGTAGCAATCACGTGTCGCAACCACACGGGTCACATATGCTTTGCGCTGATCGCTTGGGAACGTTGGCAAGGTGCTGACCCGAGACTTTGCTTTCCGCAAGGAGAACATTCAAGTGATGCTCGATGTGTCCGCTTTCTGAAGGTCATTGTGAAGGTCCTTGGAATAAAAAAGCAAGGACAATGAGACGGAAAGGGCTTCTTTTATAAGGCCTAATATTTTAATGGGGCCTTATCAAAGGGACCCTTACCTTCTTATGTTCCTTTTGTTCTTTATTCCAAGCACCCTAGTCAAATCACACGTTTGAGGGACATGGGAAGGAGGAAGACGAGCAAATGAGGTACCCCAATGGAGATCCTGTGGAAGACGACCCATTCTATTCAGTTCCCACCAAGGACACTAACCTGCACTTGCAACACAAGGATTTGTTGATATTGACGATGTTGTTAATTGGGAGGTGTCCAAATACTGATATGATACGTCAGTCGGAGTGTCATGGTTACTGTATGCAGGAGAACATGTTGGCGGCCATCAGATGGTTTGTGTCTGATGTCAGAGAGGTCCAGTCCCAAGTTTGCGGACTGCGATAGGCGGTCATGATGCAAAGTTGCTTCGTTTGCGATCTCAAGTGCTGTGCTCCAGCATGTTTGTGAGGGGGACAGTTTGGCCTTCATTTTCTGTGGCCACATGACACAGGAGTGCGGGGGGGTCGGGTAGGTCCAGGAAGGTTTGTGCTCTTCCAGAGCATTGTCCCACCGACCGTGGTGTTCAACATGTTTCAAACCTGCCAGATCTTGGATTACACCAATCGAAGCGGAGAACGAATTGAAGAGGACGCTGGACGGCATCAGGATCAAAAAGAAAAAGGATCCAAAATAACAAAGAACATGATCAATAAAGAAAAAGAACAGGATCAAAAAACACAATCCTGACTAGGTCCCCTGGTCCTTTGGTCCGCTGGTCCTTTGGTCCGCTGGTCCCCTGGTCCTTCGCTCTTGCTCTCCTACTCCGCTGGTCCCCTGCTCCTTCGGTCTCGTGGTCCAGTGGGCACCTAGACCTAGTCCCTTGGTCTCCTAGTCCGCTGGTCTTATGGTCCTTCAGTCTTGGTAGCTCCCTAGTAGAGAGATAGCTTCCCAGTGGGGTGCTGGCTCGCTGGTAGGGTATTTCCCAGTAGAGGACTAGCGCTGCCTGTACTTGATTTGCATTGCGGGGGAGGTGCTCCGCCCTCCCCCGCACTCCCTCCCTCCTTTTTTCATAGTTGCCACTACCCGTGCTATTACCAGTACCTCCAACACTCCGACCACCCCACTACCAGTCATACCACAGTTACCACAACTACTATCTTCTTTGCACTGACAGTACCACAAAGGTGGATGATAAGGTCCACCTTTGCTTCGCTGTGGCTGCGCCCTCCCCCGCACCCCCTTCCACTTTTTTAATAGTTGTTCCCACTACCCCTACTATTACCAGTGCCTCTATCACCCTGACCAACCCACTACGAGTCTTACCACTACTATCTTCTATGCATTGACACTGCCACAAAGGTGGATGATATGGCCCACCTTCGCTTAGCCACAACGCCGCAAAGGAGGATGATAAGGCCCACCTTCGCTTAGCTATGCAAGCGCTTTCAAAGGTGAATGAAAGCGCAGGCTCAGCTCTGACAACCCACAAAGTTGGATGATAAGACCTTCACCTTGAGATTTGACACTCAATCAAACCAATCAAGAAACGAAGCAGCCCAGGGCTGTCTATACTTGATTTGCATTGCGGGGGAGGCGCTGCGCCCTCCCCTGCACCCCCTCCCTTTTTTATCAATAGTTACCACTACCGTCCACTACCCCTACTATTACCAACACCACTATCACTCCGACACGAGCCTTACCACAGCTACCGCAAGTACTTTCTTTTTTGCGTTGAGGCTGCCACAAAGGTCTATGATAAGGCCCACCTTCACCTAGCACGACGGCCAGAAACCTTCGCTTAGTAGGAAACGCTGTGCCCTACCCCTACTACCTCCACTACTTCGGCTACCACCCCTACTACTTCTACTGCTGTTTCTTCTGCTACTACTACTACTACTATTAGCTACTGCTACTGCTACTATTACTGATGCTGCTACTACTACCACCACTACCACTACCACCACCACTACTACCACTACCACTACGACTGCGACTATTACTACTACTACTACTACTACTCCTACTCCTACTCCTACTGCTACTGCTACTGCTACTGCTACTGCTACTGCTACTGCTACTGCTACTGCTACTACCACCACCACCACCACTACTACTTCTACTACTACTACTACTCCTGCTGCTCCTGCTGCTGCTGCTGCTACTACTGTCCTTTTCCCACTCTCTTCTTCGCTGCTAAATTTTTGTTATCATGTTTTTTTGGTCCCTCTTGAATATTTTTGATGCTGATCCTTTACTTTTTGATCCCTCACTCACGCTGGACGGGCAGAATGGGAGGAAATCAAGGTAATCCAACATGTCATTTATACGGTTCTTTACTCCTCACTCCTCAGCCGAGACACATGAACCGTACTGATTATGTGCTGGCGACTGATGAAGGGAGACGTGAGCAACAGTGAACTTCCCAGTTTATTGAAATTCGTGGGGTCGTTAGGATTAAACTGGCAGCAGGCCACATTTATTGGCAGCAGATAGAGACTCAGAACACCAGATACAGATTGATCCCAAGGAACATCAAAAGAAAGCTAACCAGCAACGAGAGTATTATGAATAGGAACAAGGACGCTACTAGGGGTTCCTGGCATCGCTACTATGACCTCTGGAGATAGTTGAAGTTTGCCGGACAGTTCACAGCTTCTCGGGGATCAATGTTGGGTAGTTTTCAACAGAGGGGCATTGGACACCCTTTTGTTTGTATGTGTTCGTATGGGTTTGAAACATCAACACGATTAACACCTAGAACCCATTGCAAAGGGATGAGGAACGCCCAAGCCCCATGCTCTCCTCCAATATGTCCATTTACAGATGAAACAATTTTGGACAGACCTCCAACGGTTGCTGGTTGGGAACGAGGCCTTGTGCCCTATCGACTGGGATGAGTTTGATGGTGCCACCCCGCGCCCCGCCACCAGCGACAATCTTCAACCACTTAATTTGGTGAAGTATGTTTTTTTTGTTGAATTTGCCCTCGTGGAGGTACCGGCTAATCACAGATCGGGAACTTCACCAGTTGTTTGGCCAACTGCCGGGGTCGCCCAGTTCTTGTAGGTTCAATGGCAGTTCAATACAATGTCGAGAAAGAAGAAGTGCTTGGACATGGGAAGAATATACTAAGTACTGGTAGTACTCAGTATTGGAGGAACCGTGTGGATCATTCCAACAACCACAAACATTCTAAGATGTACGAACGTTCTGAAGTTCTGAAGGTA